GAGACAAAATCTTTTCAATGTAGCTTTTCTGAGTCAAGAAAAGCTTACCTCTAGCCCGATCCCTGTAGATCTCCATACCCAAAATCTTCCTAGCTGCACCCAAGTCTTTCATGTCAAACTCCGAGTTAAGCATCTCCTTTAATCTAGCAATATCAGATTTATTCTTTGTGGCAACCAACATGTCATCAACATATAACAAAAGATAAATCATGGAACCATTATCCAGCTTACTATGATACACACAGCAATCATATGAATTCCTGTCAAAACCTTGTGAAACCATAAAAGAATCAAACCTTTTGTACCACTGTCGGGGGGATTGCTTAAGTCCATACAATGACTTTAGCAATCTGCAGGCATAGTGTTCCTTTCCAGGAACTTCGAATCCTTCGGGCTGCTTCATCAGAATCTCCTCCTCCAAATCGCCATGAAGGAAAGCCGTTTTAACATCCAACTGCTCCAGCTCAAGATCAAAATGTGCTACAATTGACAATAACACACGGATAGAAGTATGTCGAACCACAGGTGAGAATATCTCAACAAAATCAACCCCTTCTACCTGACTGAACCCCTTAGCAACTAGCCTAGCCTTAAAACGTATTTGCTCAGTTTCCGACAACCCTTCTTTCTTCTTGTAAATCCATTTACAACCCACAAGCTTCCTCCCTTCCGGTACCTTTACCAGTTCCCACACTCTGTTCTTGTAAAGAGACTGCATCTCTTCACCCATTGCGGCAAGCCATTGCGCAGACTCACTACAACTAATTGCTTGTTTATATGTGGCAGGTTCAAATGACTCTACATCATCAGCTACACTCAATGCATAACCTGTCATCGCATCAACACAGCAATTTCTTCCCTCCATCTCTTCAATCAATCTAACAGGCTTCTTGATAACTCGTTTAGGCATCTCAAGAATGGTGTCAGGTTGACTAGATGACCCCTGATTAGATTGCTCCACCTCATCCCCAGAGTTAGAATGAGTATGAGTAATCTCAGGTTCAGGAGTACCCGGCACTGGAACATCAGCATCATCATCAATATATTGTACCCGAGGTAAATCAGCAATGGTAGACTGATGTACCTCAAGTACCCCATCTGTCTGTAATAAATTGTCTCCTTCCCTTCTCAAATCTGAAATCTCTGCATTTTTAATTGAATACATGGTGTTTTCATCGAAAGTAACATCCCTACTAAGAATGACCCGACCCTCCGAAGGTGAAAAAATTCTAAACCCCTTCACACCATCCCCGTACCCAACAAAACACCCCTTCTTGGCTCGTGGATCCAGCTTACCCTCAATAACATGATAATAAGCAACACAACCAAAAATCTTCAAATTCGAAAAATTAGGCAACTTACCACTCCAGATCTCAAACGGAATTTTGGAATCAATTCCAGAATGAGGACCCCTATTAATGACATAACAAGCTGTTAACACAGCTTCACTCCAGTACCTCCTCCCAAGCCCTGCATTAGAGAGCATGCATCGAACTCTCTCTAGCAGTGTCTGATTAACCCGTTCTGCTACACCGTTCTGCTGTGGTGTCTTCCTGACAGTATGATGCCGACCTATACCCTCATCTGCACAGAACTGATTAAACTCGTCTTTGCAAAACTCTAGCCCATTGTCCGTTCGTAGCTTCTTGATCTTCCTTCCTTGTCGATTTTCCACCAAAGCTTTCCATTGCTTGAAAACTTTGAAGGCCTCATCCTTTGACTTAAGCAACCTAAGCCATGTGTATCGGGACTTGTCATCAACAAATGACACAAAATAGTGGTAACCTCCCATACCTTCAACTCTAGATGGACCCCAGCAATCTGAATGGATGTAATCGAGCACTGCATCAGTAATGTGAGCACCCTTGCTGAACTTTGACCTGTGTTTCTTACCAAACACACAATGCTCACAAAATTCAAGGTTGGCAACCTTGACCCCGGATAGAAGACCCCTCTTGGACAATAGCTGTATCCCCTTCTCCCCCATATGACCAAGCCTCATGTGCCAAATCTTAGTCATCTCCTGGTGAGATACAGATGCGCAAACCGCAGAACTAGGCAGTGTAACACCCTCAAAAACATAGAGGGTGTTCCTTTTGATACCCTTAAGTACCAACTCAGAACCTCTGAAAATACACAACTCCCCATCTGAAAACACACCATTGTACCCCAAGTCATCCAGGGTACCCAATGAAATCAGATTCTTTCCTAAAGCAGGAACATGCCGTACATTAGTCAAAGTTAACCTCCGCCCATCAACAGTCCTCAACCTCATGGAACCAATACCTGTGACCTTACATGGAGCATTGTTACCGACTATAACCATACCCCCATTGCGAGGTTCATATGTATCAAACCAATCTCGACGTGGACACATATGGAACGAACACCCCGAATCTAGAACCCAGTTATCAGATAAATCATCAGACCTAGCAGAACTGACTAATGCTAAATCTTCCTCTGAATTATAGCTCTCATTCGGTTTCTCTTCAACTACAGCAGCCTGGGACTTGTTTTTCCTCACCGGACAATTATTCCTAAAGTGACCCGGTTCTTTACAGTAATAACATGTTTTAGTAGTAGTTTTACTAGATCCATCCTTGCCGTTTCCAGCACCCGACCCAGCATTGTTCCCCTTGTTAAACCCCTTATTCTTTTTAGACTTTCCGGACTTAACAAACAACCCACTACCATTATCCCCATTATCACTCGTAGCTTTCATTCTGAGTTCCCTAGTATGAAGTGCTGCCTTCACTTCTTCTAAGGTTATAGAATCCTTACCAACAACAAAAGACTCTACAAAATTCTCAAAGCTAGACGGTAGAGATACAAGTAAAATCAACGCAGCATCCTCATCATCAATTTTAACATCTAAATTACGTAAATCAAGCAAAATAGAGTTAAGTTTTTCTAGATGTTCCCGTAAGGAAGTACCTGACTGCATCCGGAGGCTAAACAACCGCTGTTTCAGTAATAATTTGTTGGTCAACGACTTAGTCATATACAATGACTCCAGCTTCAGCCACAATCCAGCCGCCGTTTCCTGATCAGCAACCTCCGTGATGATTTGATCATCAAGACTAAGTAATATGGTAGAGTGTGCCTTCTCTTCCATAACTTCTAACTGCGAGTCAGTCGGTCCGTCTCCTGACTCCGAAGTAGTACTCTTTGGAGCCAACGGACGCCATATCTGCTGTTGTTTTAACAGAGCCTTCATCTTAATTTGCCATAGCCCGAAACTATTTTTCCCGGTAAACTTCTCAATTCTTATTGTTGAATCTCCTGCCATTGTTATCTTCAAGAAACTCTCCAAGGATTGAACCTGAGCTCTGATACCAATTGTTGTGCGACAGCGGAAGCAAAGGTCGAAAACAAACAAGAAAACAATAAAGAAATTCAATGCAAACAATAAGAACAACACCAAGAATTTACGTGGTTCACTATCGATGTGATAGCTACATCCACGGGCACCGAGATCGAATGATTTCACTATAAACTGGCAAAGATCACAAAGATTACAATGAAGAACTTAATCACTCAAAGTATTCTCTCTCTTGTGTTTCTCTCACCATCACCCTAATAATAATAATAGGAAGTTTATATAGTATTGACTCCTAATTAGAATATACTTAGGTTACAATATCACAAAAAAGATAAATATTAAATTCGTAACCGCTGAAAACCCAGATCGCCCGATCGGGCGAAGGCCCGCCCGATCGGGCGCGAGAGCACATCTTTTCCAACAACCGAAGTACTCAAGAAACCCCTTCCGCCCGGTCAGACCGGGCAATGTCCGCCCGATCGGGCGAAGGCTCGCCCGGTCGGGCGAAGGCTCGCCCGGTCGGGCGCGAGAGCAGTTTCTTCAACGAATTTGCCAGGCACCTCTTCTTCTTCCGCCCGGTCAGACCGGGCAATGTCCGCCCGATCGGGCGGACAAAGCTACGAAGTACGAGTCACCTAATATACTTATCAACATGATCTATAGATGTTTCGTCGTTTCACTTGGCTACCCCATTGCCATTGGCTTGGAAAATGAACAAAATTACACGTATTATATATTCTCTTGATTTTCTTAAAAAAAAAATATATTCTCTTGATTTTCACTTATTTAAACTCATCTAATCTACTGTAATTTGAGCTTATTAGAACTTTGTATCACTTAATAATTTTTAAAATAAATTTATTAATTATATATATTAGATTTTTTAATTTTTTTTTTTCAAGTAAGTTGAACTAAATTTTTTAATTTCTAAATTTATTAATCTTCTTTGTAATATTCATATAACTACGAGTAATTAAAATCAAATCAAACCAAATCAAACTATCAATGTAATAATGAACTCAAGGCATCACGAGCATTGAACTTTAAAAAAAATGTCTTTTATTGTGGAAGGAACACTAGTGGACGTTATGGTTATAAGCAATATCTTCAATTCAAGTAGACATCACGTAACGTGTATGTTCTGTTTATTTTTGGTCTACTTTTGTCCCATAACATTTATACATAGTCTACTTTTCTTTCACTCAACACCGATCAATGCAAGGAGTAAAAGAAAAACGGTTTGACGCAAATTATACAATCACACAATATAACTTCCAATCAATTCCAAATTTAATAGTAACTTATTCTAAGATATATGGAAAAAATTTAGCTAACTTCTTAAAATCGTATGAAGTAATGATTTATGATTAAATTTTTGAGTCAGCTAGTAAGTGATGATGAGAAGATAGAAATTGAAACCTTAATATTAACAGGTACGATTAGAACAAAGTACAACTAATTCCGAACAATGGTAATACAAAATAACTGAAATTAAATTATGCCGGCTTTATTTAGCTTACTTACACGCAAACAATTAACTTCATTCTTCCCATAAAAACCACCCAACTCATAGAATGGGCAATAATTTATAAGTAGCTCAATTAGTTACCACTACTCTCTAAGCTAGATGCATGTCAAGTATTCAACATGCATGGAAAAAAACAAGCAAGGCTTTTAAATCGATACTAAATTTAGGTAATTGATTACATAATCAAAATATCCATTTTAGGTGATTAGTAATTGAGTGTTCAATTGTCCAACAAATTGGTAAAGCTTCTACTTCATGCCAAGCAAACCTACCATAAGTTGCATTATATTATATAATATGATCATCATATATTCATATGAAGAAATTAAAAAAAAAAAAAAAATCAACAAGCTAAAGAAGCATTTTTTTTCCACATATTGTTGAACTTATTCAAGACTTGGTTGTCAATTGTTAGTCATGAAAGAAATCAGTGGGAAAAGAATGGCAGTGTTGGTAGGGTGCAACTATCCGAACACGGAATATGAGTTGCAAGGTTGTATCAATGATGTAATCGCCATGAAACATATGCTTAGTAAGAGGTTTGGGTTCGACGAAAAGGATATCGAGCTACTAAGTGATGAAGAAGGCTCTTCGGCCTTGCCTACGGGTGCTAACATTAAGAAGGCACTCGAAAACATGGTTGATCGCGCTATGGAGGGTGACGTGCTCTACTTCCATTATAGTGGCCATGGGACGTTGATACCTTCTTTGAAGCAAAATGAGCCTCATAGAAAGGATGAAGCTATTGTGCCTTGTGACTTCAATCTCATCACAGGTTAGTTAATTTTGCATCTGCATGCATGTTCATTCTAAAGATAATAAAAATGAGAAAAAAATATATGCCATGTTAACAGACAAAATTGTTGATTAATTCACAATTTTGCCAAGATAAATCGGGCCTTCCTAAAAAGAAAATGATAATATAATTGTCTCGTCATCTTATATGAAGTTTAACTACTATATTACTAGTCATGTATTTTGAAATGTTCGGAAAATCTTGTCATATCTCCTTTACTAAATTATACGGAGTAGTGGACAAAGAATAAGAAGAGATCGAGACTACTACTATATAATCATGTTAAATTCTTAAAAACACAGTATAGGATAATGTGATAATAAATTTCAAATAGAACTGTAATATTGAAAACCTGCTTTTGTAGACATGGATTTCAGGCAACTAGTAAACAAGTTACCTCCTAAGGCAAGCTTCACCGTTCTCTCAGACTCATGCCACAGTGGAGGCCTAATAGACCAAGAGAAGGAGCAAATTGGGCCGACAACGATGGCATCAGAGGATCAAGCCCGATGTTCACGGCCCAAGTTCATCCCATATGACCAAGTCCTCCAAAAGCTCAAACAACTCACAAGCATAGACACCCCTAACATTGGTAGACACTTGAAGGAACACTTCAAAGACCAAGCTAGCCTTAGCTTCTGCCTCAATAAACTCGATCAAGCTCAACTAAGCCTCGAACGAGCAACCAAGGATGATTATGGAATTTTGCTAAGCGGGTGCCAATCTAATGAGACTTCAGCGGATGTGAGCTTGGAGGAAGGCGAAGGTGGGGAGGCCCATGGCGCATTCAGCAATGCAGTTCAGAAAGTTCTGATGCAGAATTCAGGACGGCTTAGCAATAAAGAGGTTGTTACAAAGGCTAGGGAAGTGTTACAAGAACAATTGTATAAACAACATCCTTGTTTATACTGCAGTGATGAGAATGCTGATGCTACTTTCCTGCTGCAATCATAGAATCATAGGTATATAATGTATATCTAGCAATTCTAATACATTCATGTCATAAAATTACATATATACGAAGTACTATATAGGTTCATAAATCAGATCATCGTTCAACTAGAAGATTAAGATTTGTAATTAATTAGTATGTCACTAATTATTGTACAAACTTGTTTGTTATTTACAAGAATATGTACCTGTTAGGTTAAAAGTCATTGCTTCTCTAATCCTGTCAATCATGTTAATCCCTACTACTTCCTCCATTCGTTTCAAACGTATTACCTTTCGAAAAGTTTTTTAATGTATTTAGACAATGCTTCTATCTCTTTCCTCATCATATAGTTCCCACACAAAGTAAGACACTAATATGGTCATCGGAGGCTCTGTCCCCAAGACCCGACTCTGCCCTACCCGAGGCTTGGAGTTCATTTTATAGGCATTCCATCCCACGAGCCTAGGGATCTGAAGGACCCGAAAACATACCAAGATTCCATAGCAGGAGATAATTTAAAAATGCCTGGAAGCATAATTAGCTGTAACAAATGCTAATAAAAACATATACGAGTATTAATTATAAATTAGAGCATAAACAATTTAATTGAAGTAGTTGACTTAATAACTTGCCGTGGACATCAAGTACATTCTATCAGTTCTTCCTCTTATATTTGCTCCCTTGTCAATTGTCATCAGTCCTTTCCTTTAATCCTTACCAAAATTGGTTTGTTTATCATATACCCTGCTATTATTATCATGAAAATTTTACTAGAAACTGAAGAATACGAAAGCAGAACAGCAGTTCCGTCAACACAGAAACTAGAAGCAGAATGCAAGAAGATAAGCAGGGATTTGTACTGGAAAAAGGTTTGCTTTTCTTCTATCTTATTAGCTTAATATAGACTTTTTAGAGTTGATCATAACTAGCCCGGTATGGTTCGCAATCCTGATTCAAATAGAATAAGGCCTACATACCTAAATTGTAGCTCACCCCGATTTTACTAGGCTAAGGCTGATTTCTCTATTCTTATCTAAGGCCTTGGCTTGTCCCACAATCAACTTGAATATTCCATTTCTGGTAAATGTACTTTTGGTATTGTAATTTACAGACAGATCAATATATAGTTACCCACAAATTAAACTCACAAAGATCAGAGCTCGAAGAACTGAAGCAGCAGATGAATCAATGGAACAATGCACTAGAAGAGCAGCAACATCTGCACCGATTATACCATGAACATGATACACTAGTAATTACTGCTTATCCTTAATAAGTAAATTAGTTAACCTTTTGCTTCAACAAGTTACACTTATCTATGATATATTCTGTGTTGGCGCGAATAGAAGATGCAGCTTCATAGCTTGCATCATAAACTACTGCACAACAGTGATTTTTTTTGTCTTCTTCTGTGGGCTGCTACTTCCTGGTTTTTGCTACTATTATGCACAGTACATCAGAACTGAAACTGACAGAACTAGAAAACAGTATATGGTTAAACAACACAAGATCAACCGGCTAGATAAAGAGGAAAACATGCTAGACAGGCGTGTGAAATTCCTGGAGAGGAAATTAGCGAAGATTTATCTAAAGATAGAAGCAAACTCAGATGGTTCAAATGTACTATGCAAAGAGTTTTGAAACTATCAAAACTTGTATTGTCAATACTCTTGATTGATGCTAGTCGAGTTAAAATATTGCAGTCTATACTCTATATACTATGCATATATTTTATCACTAATATACCGGACTTGGATTGTCTGTTGAGCACAACTTTGTGAGAACGAGGATACATAGCGGGGCTATGAAGTTGTGCAGAGCACCATGTTTCGTAAGTCTCAGCCTCTCACCCTTGGATAATTTAGTACTGTAAATCTTGTTGTTAGATTGCCAACTGGTTGCCCAAAGATGCAAGAAAAATCTAGGATTTATTGAAACTGGCCTCTCACCAGACAAATCTTCCGCCTGCAAGAATTATCACCCCAAAAATTAGCAAGATATATTGGCTAGTTTCATGTAAAATAATGTAGTTGGATAAGATTACAGGTTGAGTATATGAGCTGGTATAAACCTTTTGACCCCGTTCTTCTCACCTCCTGGAAGTAGGGAGTTCACGAGGCACGAAAAGTAGTATAATAAGGACTCCCTTCGTCTAGAATCAATAGTTCAATTCAGTCTCACTGCTATATAGTAAAATTTGAACTAGTAATGTAGCAACTAAATCCGAATAGAGACAATATAGTAAAGAATTAGAAGAATTAAGATGAGCGAGGTGTACGAAATAAAAAGAAAAAAGAGTAAAAGACTAATCAATGATGTGGCCATCATATAAATCATCAAGAATATTCATAGCATTAAATGATTCTTGATGAAAACATCCAATATAATAAAAAAAAAAATTAGAAGTAATAATAATTGTTGGGCTACATTAATAAAATTGACTTAATTAGATAAGTCATTTTCAAGAAATGCATTTATTGGCATTATTGAGGAGAAGTTGAGAGATCTACATCCAATTGATTGAATCTTAAGTAATTATTTAATGCTCTATTTAAAAATTACAAATAAACTTAGGCATTGTTTAGTTCAACTTATTTTTTACTTATTTCAGAAAAAATAAATTCAGGTCAGATAAAAAAAAAAAAGTTCAAATCAGTCAGATTAGAAAAATAAGTTGAAACCAGATCATCGTTTTATGTGCAGTTTTTTTATCGCTAAATATCTTTAATTACGTAATGAAAAAAATTATAAAAATTACATATTAATAAAATTTACACATTAATACGATTCTAACAAGACCCCACTAGATATATTTCTTCTTAGATTATCATACACATAAGGTCAAAGTTGTCAAATCGGACATTCAGATCAAATCACACCAAATCAGATCAGATAAGCAAAAATAAGTTGAACTAAAAAAGCCCTTAGTCCTACACGCTAATGATTTAATATGTGTTAGTTTCTTTGACCACAGAGATAACTTGGATAAGTTTCATACACATCCTAGTCATCCCTACTATGTATAAATATATACCTAGCAACTTTAAACATCTAACTTCTCATCTAAAATGAATCAAAACCAGAAACAGGAAGAATTTATAGTGTCTGAAAAGGAGGTTCAACAGCTTCAGCAATGCCTTCCGAAGGCTAAGTTAATTGGCACCAAAATATTGAAATACCAAGGTTACTGGTACCATGACAATCATCTCCAAAATGTCCCTAGGTTTCAAAGACACTTCCATGCTCGAGACACCGATCTCATCATTGGTAGCCTCCCTAAAACTGGCACCACTTGGTTGAAATCCTTACTATTCGCGATTGTTAACCGTGCCCACTACTCTGGAAATCATCACCAAAATCCTCTCCTTGAGAATCATCCTCATGAGCTTGTGTACAGCTTAGAGACCGATGTCTATAATAAGGCCTTTGTTTATCCTCGTCCACATCACCTTAATGAGCTTTCCTCACCAAGACTTTTGAGCACACACCTACCCTATGTGTCACTTCCTGAATCTATTCGGACTTCAATTCTGGGTGTCGGATTTTGTACATCACCCGAAATCCCTTGGACACACTTGTTTCTCTATATTATTTTTCCATGAAAGTGATGAAGAACTACTTTTCCATGGATATATTGAGGATGATACTCGGTATGTTTTACCCTACTCCTACCATGCAGGATTTCTTTGAAGCTTTTTGTGAGGATAGAATCCCTTTTGGGCCATTCTTCGATCATGCTGTGGGATATTGGAAGGCAAGTTTAGAACAACCTGACAAGGTGCTATTCCTCAAGTATGAGGAATTAAAGGATGATCCCACAGTTCAGCTGAAGAGATTGGCCGAATTTGTGAGTATGCCATTTACTTCCCAAGAGGAAAGTGATGGTGTCATACAACAAATTATAGAGATGTGTAGCATCAAGAGTATGAAAGAATTGGACGTTAACAAGAGTGGTGTAATTAACAAGTTGTTTGACAAAAAATCATACTTCAGGAAATGCGAGGTGGGGGACTGGACACATCATTTTACACCTCCCATGGTGGAGAAGATGAAGAAACTCATGGATGAAAAACTTGGAAGGCACTGGTTTATCCTATAAATTAACTTTCTGATACCAATTCTTATTTACCTCAATAATTGTTCCTTATTTTCTCTTTACTTTTTTCAAATTTCCTGGGGCTTAATCCAACTATGTTTTATGATATTTTCTACTAATCTCTTTGTACAGTCTTTTAATTTCCCGTTGGAAGTTGTTTTACCCTTTGTCAATTATTCTGACAGTGCTATACTGCCATTATATGTGTTAATGCTCCTAATGTTCTGAAGTACAATTGTATGAGTAATTTATGAGTCAGGATAATCTCAGCACATATAATAGCATGCTAATAATTTCAACAAGTAATTACTAGTCAGGATTAAGCATCTAAATAGATAATTCCCTAATTACCAAGGAGCCCAGAACTTGTCCTAATAAAAGCACTTAGTTGTGTCAGATGTATATGCATTAATGGAAACCAAACTTATGAAGCCACAAATACAGTTCTCAGAGCAGTTAACGCATATTGTCAAAGCTAAGCTAAAACTAGGCAATTTACTTACTAAAAATGAATTTGCTACAGCCATGAGCAGAACTCACCAAACAACAGCAGGCGACCTCACATTGAAAACATGCTTCTGTAGACATGGATTTCAGGCAACTAGTAAACAAGTTACCTCCTAAGGCAAGCTTCACAATTCTCTCAAACTCATGCCATAGTGGAGGCCTAATAGACCAAGAGAAGGAGCAAATTGGGCCAACAATGACGACATCAAAGGGTCAAGCCTGATGTTTACGGCCCATGTTCTTCCCATATGACCAAGTCCTCCAAAAGCTCAAAGAACTCACAAGCATAGACACCCCTAACATTGGCAGACATTTGAAGTAACACTTCAAAGACCAAGCTAGCCTAAGCTTCTGCCTCAATGAACTTGATCAAGATCAACTAAGCCTCGAATAAGCAACCAAGGCCGACTGTGGAGTTTTACTAAGCGGGTGACACTCTAATGAGACTTCAGCAGATGTGAGCTTGGAGGAAGGTGAAGGTGGGGAGGCCCATGGCCCATTCAGCAATGCAGTTCAGAAAGTTCTGATGCAAAATTCAGGACAACTTCAATTACGAGGTTGTGATAATGGTTAGGAAAGTGTCACAAGAACAAATGTATAAACACCATCCTTGTTTGTACTGCAGTGATGAGAGTGCTGAAGATACTTTCCTACTGCAATCATAGATACATAGTAGTGATCAACATCGGCTGGCCCACTAGCCCGGTTCGAAAATAGGACGGGTTTGGACAAGCATAAAAGCACATTTTTAGTTAAAACCCGAACCCGGCTCGACAAGCCTGTTATTTTTTTTACGGGTATGGGCACGAAATATGATGTTAAGGTCCGGCCCGACCTAAATTTTATCACCTCTAATTCATAGGTATATAATGTATGTCTAGCAATTCTAATACATACATGTCATAAAACTACATATATACAAAGTATACTATATAAGTTCATGAATCAGCTCATCATTTGACTATTGTACAAACTTGTTTGTTTTTTACAATAATATGTACCTGTTATGTTAAAAGTCATTGCTTGTCAAATACCCCTTGTTCCTTGCTAGTTTCGCCCCTGTTGTCAATCATGTTAATCCCACTACTTCCTCACTTCGTTTTTAAATGTATTACCTTTTAGAAAAAATTTAAACGTTTTTAGACAATGCTTTTATCTCTTTTCTCATCATATGATTCCCACACTCCCTCTTATCTCTTTTACTATAAATAAGACACCAATATGGTCATCCGAGCCTCAAAGGGTCCATCCCCAAGACCCAGCCCTGCCTTACCCGAGGTTTGGAGTTCATTTTATAGGCATTCCATAGCACGAGCCTAGGGATCCGACCTGAAAACATACCAAGATTCCATACCGGAAGATAAGTTAAAAATGCCTGGAAGCATAATTAACAAATGCTAATAAATAATGTATACGAAGTATTAATTATAAATTAGAGCATAAACAATTTTATTGAAGGAGTTGACTTAATAACTTGCCGTGGACATCATGTACATTCTATCAGTTCTTCCTCTTATACATGCTCTCTTGTCATCAATCCTGCTATTATTATCATGAAAAGTTTACTAGAAACTGAAGAATACGAAAGCAGAACAGCAGTTCTGTCGACACAGAAACTAGAAGCAGAATGCAAGAAGATAAGCAGGGACTTGTACTGGAAAAAGATTTGCTTTTCTTATATCTTATTAGCTTAATATGGACTTTTGAGAGTTGATCATAACTAGCTCATTTGGTTCGTGATCCTGATTCTATCGGAATAAGGCTAACTTATATACCTAAACTGTGGCTCACCCCGATTTTACTAGGCTAAGGCCGATTTCTCTATGCTTCTCTTAGGCCTCGGCTTGTCCCATGATCAGCTTGAATATTCCATTTCTGGTAAATGTACTTCGGTATTGTAAATTACAGGCAGATCAATATATAGTAACCCACAATTTTAACTCACAAAAATCAAAGCTCGAAGAACTAAAGCAGCAGATAAATCAATGGAACAATGCACTAGAGGAGCAACAACTAGTTAGACCCGATACGCTAGTAATTACTGGTTATCCTTAATAAGTAAATTAGTTAGCCTTTTGCTTCAACAGGTTACACTTATCTATGATATATTCTGTGTTGGCGCGAATAGAAGATGCAGCTTCATAGCTTGCATCATAAACTACGACACAAAAGTGGTAACCTATCTTCGGAAAGGGCTATACTAAGAGACTTAACACAGCTTCAGAAGGCAAAGGGCATTCCCAAAGAAAAAACTACCAAAAAAGTGGAATACCCATTATATACTGAAGAACTAGTAGAAAGCATTCAAAGCAACATCAAAGTAAGAAAACTTTATTTCTACTATGCTCTTAAACTTGTATTCTTCCATTTGTCCAATGAATAGATTCAATATTGCCACATATTCTCGCCTGATTTTTTTTTTTTTTTTTTTTTTTTGTCTTATTCCATGGATTGCTACTTCCCGGTTTTTGCTACTATTACGGTAAATGCACAGTACATCAGAACTGTAATTGACAGAACAAGGAAACAATAAAAGGTTAAGCAACACAATATCAACCGGCTTGATAAAGAGGAAATCATGCTAGACAGGCGTGTGAAATTCCTGAAGAGGAAATTAGCGAAGATTTATCTAAAGATAGAAGCCAAATCAGATGGTTCAAATGCATTATGCAAATAGGTCGAAATTATCAAACTTGTATCGTCAATAGTCAATACTCTTGATTGATTCTAGTCGAGTTAAAATATTGCAGTCTATACTCTATATACTACTCATATTTTATCACTAATAAAGTAATAAGAAAAAAGTTTTATATACCGGACTTGGATTGTCTGTTGTGCACAACTTTGTGAGAACAAGGATACATAGCGGAGCCCGTGGAGTCGTGCAGAGCACCATGTTTCCTAAGGCTCAGCTTTTCACCCTTGGATGATTTAGTACTGTAAATTGTGTTGTTAGATTGCCAACTGGTTGCCAAATGATGCAAGAAAATTCTAGGTTTCTTTGAAAGTGACCTCTCACCAGACAAATCTTCTGCCTGCAAGAATTATCACCCCAAAAATTAGCAAGAAATATTGGTTAATTTCATGTAAAATAATGTGGATGGATAAGATTACAGGTTGAGTATACGAACTGATATAAACCTTTTGACCCCCTTGCTTCTCAATTCCTGGAAGGCGGGGTATTCATGAGGCACAAAAAGTAGTATAATATGACTCCCTTCGGGAATCAATAGTTCAATCGAGTCTCGCTGCTATATAGTAAAATTTGAACTAGTAATGTGGCAACTAAATCCGAACAGAGATAGTATAGTATAGAAGAAGAATTAAGGTGAGCGAGGTGGACGAAATAAAAAGAAAAATGACTAGTCAATGATTTGGCCATCATATAAATCATCAAGAATATTCATAGCATTAAATGATTCTTGATGAAAACATCAAATATAATAAAAATAAAAGAAAATAAAATGTTGTGCTACATTAATAAAATTGGCTTTATTAGATAAATCATTTTCAAGAAATGTATTTGTTGGCATTATTGATGAGAAAGTTGGGAGATCTACATCCAGTTGATTGAAACTTAAGTAATTATTTAGCAATATTTTAAAAATTCCAGATTAACTTAGTCCAACACGCTAATGATTTAATATGTGTAAGTTTCTTTGTCCACAAAAATAACTTGAATAAGTTTCCTACACATCCTAGTCGTCCCTACTATGTATAAATATATACATAGCAACTTTAAACATCTAACTTCTCATCTAACATGAATCAAAACCAGAAACAGGAAGAAATTATAGTGTCTGAAAAGGAGGTTCAACAGCTTCAGCAATGCCTTCCGAAGGCTAACTTCATCGGCAGCAAAATATTGAAATACCAAGGTTACTGGTACCATGACAATCATCTCCAAAATGTACTCGTGTTTCAAAGACACTTTCATGCTCAAGACACCGATCTCATCATTGGTAGTCTCCCAAAAACTGGCACCACATGGTTGAAATCCCTATTATTCGCGGTTGTTAACCGTGCCAACTACTCCGCAAATCATCACCAAAATCCTCTCCTTGAAAATCATCCTCATGAGCTTGTGTACAGCTTAGAGACCGATGTCTATAATAAGGCCTTTGTTTATCCTCGTCCACATCACCTTAATGAGCTTTCCTCACCAAGACTTTTGAGCACACACCTACCCTATGTGTCACTTCCTGAATCTATTCGGACTTCTGGGTGTCGGATTTTGTATATCACCCGAAATCCCATGGACACACTTGTTTCTCTATATTATTTTTCCATGAAAGTGATGAAGAACTACTTTTCCATGGATATATTGAAGATGATACTCGGTATGTTTTACCCTACTCCTACCATGCAGGATTTCTTTGAAGCTTTTTGTGAGGATAGAATACCTTTTGGGCCATTCTTCGATCATGCTGTCGGGTATTGGAAGGCATGTTTAGAACAACCTGACAAGGTGCTATTCCTCAAGTATGAGGAATTGAAGGATGATCCCACAGTTCAGCTGAAGAGATTGGCCGAATTTGTGGGTATGCCATTTACTTCCCAAGAGGAAAGTGATGGTGTCATACAACAAATTATAGAGATGTGTAGCATCAAGAGTATGAAAAAATTGGAGGTTAACAAGAGTGGTGTGATTAACAAGTTGTTTGACAAAAACTCATACTTCAGGAAAGGCGAGGTGGGGGACTGGACTCATCATTTTACACCTCCCATGGTGGAGAAGATGAAGAGACTCATGGATGAAAAACTTGAAGGCACTGGTTTATCCTATAAATTAACTTCCTGATACCAATACTTACTTTACCTCAATAATTATCCCTTATTTTCTCTGTTTTTTTTTTTTTTTTTCAAATTTCCTGGGGCTTAATCCAACTATATTTCATGAAATCCTCTACTAATCTCTTTGTACAGTCTTTTAATTTCCTGTTGGAAGTTGTTTTACCCTTTGTCAATTATTCTGACAGTTGTATACTGCCAGTATATGTGTTAATGATCCTGATGTTCTGAAGTACAATTGTATGAGTAATTTATGAGTCAGGATAATCTCAGCAGATATATTAGCATGCTAATAATTTCAACAAGTAATTACTAGTCAGGATCAAGCATCTAATAGATCATCTGTAATTACCAAGGAGCCCAGAACTCGTCCTAATAAAAGCATTTAGTTGTGTCAGATGTATATGCATTAACGGAAACCAAACTTATGATGCCACGAATACAGTTCTAAGAGCAGTTAATGCATGTTGTCAAAGCTAAGCTAAAACTAGGAGATTTATTTACTAAAAATAAAATTTCTATAGCCATGAGCAGAACTCACCGAACAACAGCCGGCGACCTTAAGCAGTTTGGCCCTGAAAGTGATAGGAGGATTTTTATCACTGCAGTACAAGCACAGATGCTGAGCATATATTTGTAGCTTCAACCTCTCACCAATATGAGGAGTGGTGGTTGCTGATTGCTCTCATGCTTCCCAAGCATCAAATGGACAGCATCTGTAGGTGCCCCAAGACTACTCCAACAACCTATTTGGCCATGCCCGTTGAAATCTCCTCTGTTCTCAAAGGAACCGTTTAGCAGTAGGCTCGTATCTGAATGGTACGATTTAAGTCATCAAAAGACAAGATTGATAGCAATTTGTTCTTGTGCAATGCAGAACTTCAACAGCAATTTTCCCAAAAAAAAAAAGGGAAATTCTCTTTTGTAACACCCAACTTTATTTTCTTCTCTTTAGTAAAAAGACAAAAAATTTATTCCATTGGTAACATTGTAATATTGATTACCAAATATAATCACCATTTTATTAAAAAACTTAAACCATGGTTTTTTTTTTTTAATTTTTTAATAATTAAATTATTACAAATATAATTTTATTTTATTTTTTTAAAAAAAAAACCCAACCCCTCTCCCACCCACCAGCCCCAACCCTCTCCCCCTGCCAGCGCCAAGCATCCCCAACCCCCGGGCGGCGACGCCCACCCCCACCTACTCTCTTTCACCCAACCTCAACGCCCCATCACCCTCCATTTACTTCGTTTCACCAAATCGCTTCATATTAAAATTATCAGGTCCGTCAAGCTCACTAATGATCCCAGAAACAAATCAAGAAAGATCTTGTAAGTAACTCCCAAGGCATAAAGATCTACTTTCCACGGACTCATGGAGATGCATTAACCTTGTTTAATCACACTTTTCAAGCATAAGCACACTTTCCACCAACTCACTCAACTCCAACACTGCGAGAAAAAGGAGGGAAGTGTTCAACTCCAAAACCCAGCAATTTGCTTCACAAAATCAAAGGTGGATTCCTTCTTAAATTTCATAAATCAAAACCCTAATTTCATTCACCATAATTTGAATTCCAAAACTCCAGCTAATTCATCTTCAGGCAGGGTCGATTCGGGGAGAGGGGCCGGTTTTAGGGGTGGTTTGGGGTCGGAATTACAGTATTATACAAAATACTTGAAAAGTCAATGCAAGGACCCAAATAAGTATCAATGGAGAAGTTCCATGGCCACTTATGGGGCGTTTGGGTGGGGGAAATGGAGGGTGATGGGGCGTCGGGGTTGGGGGAAAGAGAGTAGGTGGGGGCGACGTCACCAGCCGGGAGTGGGGAATGCTTGGCGCCGGCAGGGGGAAAGGGGTTGGATTTTTTTTAAAATTTATTTTTATAATAATTTAATTACTCCCTCCGCCCCCAATTATCTGCAACATTTACCTAAAATGGGTGCTCTATATTATTTGCAACAAATTTTTTTCTTTCCTTTTTGGGTAATATTTAACTATCAATTACCCACTATTACCCACTTTTTTGGTTAGTGGTCCCCTCCACCACCTATTACCCACTAACTAAAACCCACTCAAAACAAAATTAAGTGGGACCGCTCCTTTTCCCTCCATTTTCAACCTTAATTAAACCCACCAAAACTCAATTAAAACTCCCCTAAAAGTTTTGCCTACGAGTCCGAAATATTGTCCTTTGTTGCAGATAACCTCGGGCGGAGGGAGTATTAAAAAATAAAAAAACTAACCCAAAACCTCTAACTATAGTTAAATATTAATCATAAATGTTATAAGTAACTTAATACAAATAATACAATGTTACCAATGATAATGAGAGTTTTCAATTTTTACCAAAGAGAAAAAAAAAAAATTTGGGTGTTACCAAAGAGAATTTCCACCAAAAAAAAAAAAGTTTCATCATCTACGAAGAATATCTCAGAAACAGAACAAAACTCACGATGACAATCTTCTTTCTTCATGTAGGGGGAACAGAAGGAGAATTTTCTTTTTTGGGGGCTATCAATCAAATATAAATGTATGCATAAGTTAACTAAACATATACACATACCAAAGGTAAGGTTGAAATCATTGTGCAATTCTTTCCAACAATTTGTCACCATCTTCTGAAGGAATTTGTGTACAATGACCACTGAAGTGGAAGAACAAGCTATCCTCATATTTTGCCCACTAGAACATCGGATTTGACACCGATGTTGGCACCTGCGGATATGACAGGAGTGGAGAGTCAAACAACTTGTTGGTCAAACCCAAATCTTTAAAACCAGCAAATTCCACATTCAAGTGACATCATTGATGGGGCAATGCAATTTTTTTTGACACTTGGATAGGTAAACCCAGCAAAGAAGTCATCTTCTTGAATTCTTTATACATTTTAAGATTAAGCGCAGCTTTTTCCCCTTAAGAGTAACTTCTTTTAATAGCCTAAGCCTTATATATATTGAAATATGATTTATTTTTATTTATTTTTCAAAGTACCATTGTACATAAACACTGGAATCATTTATTATGGTCACCCAATCAGAAATTATTATCTTGTTTCTTAGGGCATATTAACATTCTCAATGAAGTGTCTGAAATATCAACTCAATATAACTACTTCACACACATCATATATTAATAATTTAACAAATTGACAGCAAATTACTGCAACAAATCAGATAAATGGTGACATTCATAGTAAAAATAAATAAGAAACAAAATCTCTTTAAAACTTGTATTAATGAAAAATGCAGAAGACCAATGTATACACCCTCCCCCTAACCATCATCTTCCCTCCCCCTCTGGTAAAAGGGTGACAGAAACGAGATTGCACTGAAGACCAATGCACACCCCAAACAGAAGGTAGCATATGATGAAAGGCAGGAACGAAGATATGGGCTCGTAACATTAGTACAAAGGACAAACAGGCTATCACTCAACTTGTAACTGTCAGAGATTCAATTATCTCATAGGAGATGATCTCTTAGTTTCTCTCCTTGTTGAAAATGTGAATATCAAGCATGAAGCAATAAACATGGCAGGGTGGAAGTCATCGAAGAGAAAGATACTCAGGAAAAGACTACATTCTCTCTTGTTCAAACAGAGCACTTCCATATATTGGCACTTCTGCCTCATTATTACTATATTACATGCAGTGCTAGCATAAAAAAGAAGGCTTTTTTGTGGTACTTTAACAGTTTTACTCTCTCATTGAGTCATTAATACAATTTCCTTTACTATGAAAAGAAAAAAGATACTCCGAATACAACATATATACGTACCAGAAACTGTCAACATCATAGAGTAGGATTGTGCCATTGACTCTAAGCCAATCTGCTGAGATGAAAGAAGTCCCACATCCACTGAAGAGAACAGAATGTCATGTCCCAGGCTCAGCCTCTTGAACAATAATACCATAGCTTTTCTGATGTTGGCCTCCATGGATATCACAAGGAGATAAGTGCAACAGTCAATGTAGCTGGGTTGGAATCCAACTGAATGAATGAGCATCTTTCACATCCAAGTTAAATCCGTTATGGGACTCCACAGCTGCACTTCGGTACTGGAACAATGCACATTACCAAAAGCTTATTTGCTTTTTACATGAATGAGCATCTTTCATTTGGTTAGGAGTCTTATGCACATTACCTAAAATCCCCATGCCTCAGCATAAGACGCCTTACCAAATGAAAGCAAATAAGCTTTTGTTAAATAAGATCTTAAGTAGTGAGATCAAAGGAAAAATTATTCACTACATAAGGGAGGTTTTTGTATACAAGTGAGCTTTTGTGGTATATGTAATAAATAATTAGATCAGTTAAAGAGCAGCAAAAGGGAGATGTAAATTCATTTTATATTACTCCGTATCACATAAAAGCTCAAATGCTTCTCAATTGAAAACTTCAAATACAGTAGTTTATGGTAATAAATTTGCTAAAAGGTTCTATTTGGTCCCCTCCTCCCCCCCCCCCCCCCAATCGAAGATCTAATACAGTAGAATTTAGTAATATATTCCACAAAACAGAACAATTATACAAAATAGAAAGCAATATTTGGAGATCCGAAACCAGTAATCTTATGCAATAAAGCAATCAAAAGTAAATCACTGTTACAAATTCACCCATATAAAGCAAACCACCAAAAAGATGGCAAAAACCAATGAGTGAAACATCCTGACAAAGATCACAAAATGAGAGATGCCCTTAGCGCTAATGACATGCAATAAAAGATTCAAAAAGAAAAAAATCAGGACAGAATTTACAAATAAAGTGACAAAGTTAAAGATCCTTCCAGATATTATAAGCAGTGTTCGAGCTGTTATAGTTAACAATTTCATCTTGACATCCCAAAAGGAATGCTGTCCTTATCGGATCTACATTCACCAGCGCATGGGCTATCCCTCTTGGGCTAGCTGCAACAGCAACCTCATCTGCACCAATTACCACTTCAGCATAACCCTTATCAGCTACTTGACTGTTCTCCAACTGCACATGCATCAATGTCAAGTTATAATACCAGAACAAGGTGTATTATAAACTCCAAAGTAACACAAAATATGACATTGATCCGGCTTATAGAAAAATCACATCACATCATGCTCACAAATAATCCCTCTCTGATTTAATAAATACAAAGCCAGATAAAGGGACCTAATAACAGGGAAGAAACCAACATGTAACAACTTGAAGAGTTGAAGTATATTGGCCGAGAGAAATGTCTTTAAACACTCTTAGAAAATATATCTGAACACATGGAAAGATCAAAACTTGCCAACAAATATACAAAGAGTGGTTGCAGGTATCACTCACCTATGAGCAAACTCCAAATTGGGATCCATGAATCAATAAGTGAGTCACCAAAGGTTCAAATTGCTATCAAGAATGTATTCAGAAAGATTTTAAACACCTAATCTCAAGTAATGATTATGAGGAAAAGAATAATTTTGTGACATAGTAATTGATGATTGGCTAAATCTGTCTTTATTCATGTGAGTGGATAAAATCAAAGAATCATGGTATTTCTTAACAATGCAGTATTATTTAGTACTCCTCTTCACTAAAAAAAATTAACATCTCTTTTTGAAGGTCAAAGTTAATCTTATAAAAATATTTTTAAAATATCAATGTACACACCAAAAATGTATTAATCAATGGTGTCAAACCTATCTAAAATAAGAAGATAATATCACAAATACATGTGATTACAAGTTATAACTGCACTGTACAGTGGATATCATCCATAGGGTTTCAGCAAGCCAAGGTTGAGATAGAACAAGTCGAAAAGTCCCCATTTCCTCCCTTCTATCAAAAATCAATTGTAGCCTTCGTAGATTAAGAAGGAGCAAGTCAACAAGACTCCACTACCTCCTTACTATTAAATTGCAGGTCCATAGTCCATATTAAATTGATAAAACCACAATACCACAAAACAGCACATGAAACCCCACCCCTTGAGAAGAGGAATCAAGAGATACAATCAACTTAACATGTTTTGTAGTTTTGACTTTTTACGGTATATAGTTCACTTTTCACGTAGGGATTGTTGTCTTTGGTAGTGATACCGCTATTAAAGAGGGAGATCTTGTCAAGCGCACTGGATCTATTGTGGATGTTACTGTGGAAAAGGCTCATAATCTTCATTCAAATGTAACTACAAATCTTAATGATCAAAAGTGGTTTGGAGACTGAAAAAGAAAGAGAGAATTGATATATTTCAAGAAAATAGAATGATCAACGTTCCATGAGAGTAAGAGATCCTAATCTCTGAACTCGAACAATCCACTTTACAGGCAACAATGAGTTGATTTCAGCTTGATGTCTAATACTAACCTAACACAGTTTTAAGTTTGAATATTTGTTGAGCACGTAGGAAATAGAGAACAAAGATGTTTAACAAACCTCAAGGCATGCTGAACACTTTCTGAAAGACTATTTGTCCCATATGAGTGCTATGGGAAAACTTAACTTATTTTAGTAATTTTAGTAATAAAGCATATTTATTTGTTTTGCTATATCAAAACTATCACAAGTACATAATTCCTATTCATATAATCTGGATGGTATTACGGTACCCATGAAAAGATGATTTATCTGAAAAATTACATGTCTCTTCAAGTATGTAGTTTCCAACTAAGCTTAGTAAGACACGTTAACTCAAGATATGGTCGTTATAGGAAATTAAATATGTTTTAAATACAATAAAAATCACTAATTGCATTCTTCGGGCATAACATGATCAAGCCACTCAACATTGTAGTGGAGGTTATGTATTATTTGCATTGAGATTTCCCTTAGGTCCAAGAAATGGCTGTTTTGAGGACACATAACACACCCTACCAATAATCTTTTCTGACTTGCTGCCTATAAAGTACAATCCTTGCTCTTTCTACCATCATTTCATATGCATACAAACATACTTCACAGAGAGCATTTAACAAATTTACTTCTCGGTTGATAACAGTGGTATATTTGGCAAAACAGAAAATGCCTGGATAGAGCATCAATGGCCTATCTCAATTACAACACAACTTAGATTAGACTCTAGACTAATACTAGTCAAAAAAAGTTCAGTTAACCCTCTTTGCAGCAAAAACTGGACAATTCAAAATAAACAATCTCAAATTGATAATTGGTTCACAATCTTTATTCCTGTTTTGAACGAAATGGTTTACAAGACTACAACTCCCAAAGCATGATATTTTCCGCAGGGCGCAGGCACCACCTTCACCCATAGTTTTGCTTTTGCTTTAATCTAATTCTATTTTCTTCTAAAATATGAAGCTTAAGTATCACAAGATGTTCCAGATTCCCTTGTACGATGTAAAACCACCATCCCCTACCAATAAATTCATAATAAAATTTTCTCTTTCCCCTTCCTATTGTAATTAAAATACGTAGTAGTTAATATTTCCCAGTAACAAGATAGGGAATAATGGTCATAAAACAATTGAACAAACATAATGACAGAAAAGTGTGTGATGAGATATAGCCAATTAAAATTGTGATTTTCTACCAATTAAAATGACAAATTGTTCCATGAACATTTGCACCGAAAGAGGCTAAAAGATACATTTGCTCCCAATCCCATTTGCAAACTATTGTTTAAAGACAGAATTAGCTGAAGCAGCTCCAAAGAAGCTTAAATATTTCAGTGGTTAGAGCAAACATATACATAATAGAAAGCAACAGAACAATGGTAAAAATGCAAATCAAAGAATTTATAAAACCACCAAGGTACTCATTTTTTCTACCATCACAGAAACAAGCAATATAATATAGAAATTCATTTCAATATGAAATAAAAGCATACCCTAAACTTTATACGAGCACCCCAAATGATAAACGTCTCGTTACTAGTATAGTGTCTGTGATTCCCCCGAATTCCTCCAGGCCGGATTTCACCAACATGAACTGTAGCACAGGCCAATGCCCCACCTGAATACATACAAAAGAAACACCAACAATGAACATTGTTTCAACTCCTTTCAGCAGTAAAAAAAAGTATAATTACAAACTACTGCATGATGAGTCAGCCAAAAAAAAAAAACCTAGCAATATATCAATCAACAGAAATTACAGAAACCGCTTCAATTTTCTCATAGAAAGTATCATAAATTAATTCCAGAAAACACCAATTAATTTAATTTTCCTGTTATTCCCTGCTGCAGGAAATGATTAATCATAATATCATAAGAACTAATTAATCATAAAATTTCTTCCATTTAGTGAATACTGTCAGTTATATATGGAAACAAATACGCACAACACAAAATTATCAGTAACCCAACTCCAATACACCCGGGATCGAATCCCGTCTACATCACTGCCTTTTGCTACTCTCTATACACCAAAAAAAATGACAGAAAGAGATTTATAAACATACCATCAATACCAGCATCAATTGCAGCAGAAACAGGATTAAGCAACCAACCCCTTTTATCTTTAGCCAATTTAGAAGGAAGAAACCTAACCAAATTAGCTTTTAAGTCTTCTTCTTTACTCCATCTTTTAGGATTTTGAAGAACAGGAGAGAAATGAGAAGGGTTTTGAAATTTGAGAGAAACCCAAGTAAGAAAAAGGAAGATTAAGAGTAAAAAGGGAAAAGCTTGAGGCTTTTTCAACAAACTAAGGATTGAAGAGAGAGAATTTGATTGGATTTGAAAAGAATTGTCTGAACTTTGGTTTCTTCTTGGACTCACCATGTTTGGCGCATGCCTATTTTCACTGATTTAGGTTGAAGGTTTTGGTTATGGCTTAATACTCTTGACTAATTTCAACACTGAGTCAAGAACTCAAGTCTGTCATTGAAGATGAGACTCAATTGGTATAAGATACACCAGTTTGTACGTTATACCAATTGAAGGACCAAAACAATTAAATAATCCTGGTTGCATGTAAAACTATATGTAAACGGTTATGTAAACGGGTGTATCGTGTATGTTCTAATACATACAACTCAAGAAAATACAGTCTTGAGAATTTTAAATTTTTTATTTTATCTAAAAAAAGTACTTTGTGTGAAATATTGGTGGATGTCTATTATATTCTTGTACTCTCTAAAATATTCTAGGTCTAGAGTTTAGTGTTTTCTAAGAAAACCCTAACTATTGTATATGTATATAACTATATATATATCTCCTACTTAATGGAATAATATACTGATTTATTCTCTCCCCAATCACTCTCCTATTCTCTTTATTTTATAATACTTTATCAGCATCATAGCTCTACCTCTAGTCTTCTAATGTATCTGCAATAATCGGGTAGCGCAAAATCCGTAACATTGAGATAAGTATTTATCGTTTTATTTGCTTAATTATTAACAATCTAAAAGACGATTATTGATTTTAAATATCTTATTCTTGATATGTTGAATTTAGGATGCTTTTTATTTGGCGCAACAATTGAAGAGGATTTAAGTCTGCAGCCGAGATTAATCTTTTGTGGGTTTTTGTTTTCGAATCATTATAATCAAGTTTTGATCTTGGAGTTGGGCTCCGGACTTTCATGCCACGTTTCGTGATATACTAAAATTGCTATTTTGGATTATATGTTAAATAAAATTTTAGTGACATTATAATTGAATTTAATTTTGAGGATTAATTATATGCTTTGAAGTTATTAAAATAATCGAAATAGTGCGGCAATTATGTGTTTATGTTGAACAACTTTAATCCAATTTGTGAAATAGCAATTAGTTGTGTCAGATAGATGATATGATTTTATGATATTTGTGACTTCATGGAATTTAATAATTGATATTAAGCAAGTGATGATCAACCGGCCGTGATATTAGCAATTGGCGAAGTTTCGTGACCCTTTTGGAACATGAAATACTCCGGCAGGATGAACAAATTAAAGAACTTTGTTTTGAATTTGATATGCAAGCTACAATAAGATATCATTAGTGTGAGTATAATATGATTATTGTGTGCCTCTTATTATTATTATTAGTAGTATTATTAGTATTAATATGCCGTGATTAGGGGTGGTTATTGGGTAGGGCTAGAGGTGGCCAGTGGGCCGGGTTGGACCCAGCCCACCCTAACTCGCACGGCTGGTGGGTCACGTGGGTCCGACCCGGTTTCAATCCGGCACAGCCCGGCACAGCTCGGATTTAATCCGGGTTGTGTCGTGGGTCCAAAATTTTCGACACAACCCAGCTCAGTTTAACCCGTTTGATTCGACCCAAATCGCACAACCCGTTTTGACTCATTTAATTCGACACACCTAGCCCGTGAACCCACCTAACCCGACCCACCTGGCACAACCCAGCCCGCACGGCCCACCCGCACGAATGACCCACCCAACCCGCACGAGCCAACCCACCTAACCCGCACGCATGACCCACCCAACCCGCACGCATGACCCACCCAACCCGCACGGCCGGCACAACCCGCACGGCCCGCACAGCCCGCACAATTCGCACGACCCGCACGGCCTTTTGATGGTCGTGTTAGTTTTACAAGTGATACATGGACTTCTAGTTTTGGCGAACCTTTTCTTTGCATTACTGCTCATTGGGTGGATGATGATTGGTTTATTCAAAAACGTATACTATGTTTTCAAGCTATGGAAGAAAGGCATACCGGTTTTAACATCAAAGTTCGTATTTTGGATTGTTTAAAAGAATTTCACTTGAATAATAAAGTTTTTTCTTTGTCTCTTGATAATGCAACTGCAAACACAAAGTGTATTGACTATTTGAAAAATGACTCCGAGTTGAATTTGTTGTTGGGTGGTAGTCTCTTGCATGTTAGATGTTGTGCTCATATTTTGAATTTGTCTGTTCAAGAGGGTCTCGCTGAGTTGCAACCATTGCTAAACCCAATTATAACAGTTATAAAATGGATTAGGATTACTCAGTCAGTTAGAAGAAAGTACATAGCTATGTGTAAAGAGAGAGGTCTTAAGAAAAGACAATGGTCTATTGATACCCCTACCCGTTGGAATTCTACTTTCAAGTTGTTGAGTGATGCTATAAAGTATCGTGATATTTTGACCCAACTTTACAATAAGACTCGTGTTGATCCTACTGAGTTAATAACCGAAAGTCATTGGACTAATGCTTCTTTTGTTCGTGATGTTTTAAATGCTTTTGATAGTGCAACTCATATTTTCTCTTATATTTATGAGCCTAACGTTCATTTAGTCATAATTGAGTGTGTTAAAGTTGTTCACACCATCGAAGAGCATATGAAGATTGATGGACTTCGTCCCGTTCTTGATAGCATGAAACGTAAGTGGCATACTTATTTTAGTGAATTTCCAATCATTTATGGAATTGCTGCTATTCTTGACCCCGGTGTCAAAGCTGAAGGTTTGGAAAATCTTTTAGAATTTTATTATACAAGTTTAAGTATCGATTATGATGTTAGTGAATATATTAACAAATGCAAATCTGTTTTGGGAGACCTTTATGATCATTATGCATCTATTTATGGTTTTGATTTGGCAACACCAACTACTACTAGCACTTCCGATTCTAGATTTGGTTTTCTTGATAAAGTTATGAAAAAAAAACACAAAGCATCTACATCATTCTCATCATCATCTTCTTCAACACTTGCTATTAATGATTATTTGTCATATCAACATGAGACCAACAACAACTTTCAAATTATAAAATGGTGGCAAGAACATAAAAAAAGTTTTCCTATATTGGCGAGAATTGCAAAAGATATACTTGCAGTTCCCGCTTCATCTGTTGCTTCCGAGTCTGCTTTTAGTGCAGGTAGAAGAGTGTTAGATGAAAAAAGATCTCGCTTAACTCCGGAAAGCATTCAAATTTGTGTTTGTAAGAAAGATTGGGATCAAGCTGAAAGAAGAACTCAAGGTTTAAAGGAAGACGAAGACGATGAAGATGATCCTGTGATGATATTGGAGTCGTCAACGGATGATGCAGCTTCCGGGGATGATGATGCAACAAACATGGGTGGCTAGAAAAGTCTAAATCAGGTACGCTAAGAACTACGTGGGCTTTGATTCTTTCGGGATACGTAGGCAACTTATTCTTCGAAAATTACAATTTAATTGCAAAATTAAATTTTAGTTTTCTAAAGATAGGTCCAAGCCCCCCCCCCCCAAATTTCAAAAGAAGTACAATATAAGAACTACGCTGGCTTTGATTCCTTATTTTATAATATAAGGATACGTAGGCATCTTAATTAAGAGCAAGCCATCAAATTGTTAATTTTGTAAAAATTAAAACACCACACAACCCACCCGACCCTAACCCACGAACCCACCCGACCCTAACCCACAAACCCACCCGACCCTAACCCACCTAACCCACAAACCCACCCGACCCTAACCCACTAACCCACCCTTCGACCCACCCTAACTCACTAACCCACCTTGACCCGTCTAACCCACGAACCTAGCTCGACCCACCCATGACCCGTCTAACCCACAAACCCAGCTCGACCCACCCACAATCCGTCTAACCCACAAACCCAGCTCGACCCACCCACGACTCGTCTAACCCACGAACCTAACCCTGGTGTGTCCAACTTCTCCGACCCAACCCACGACCCGGCCCACCCTACCCTACGTGTGTCGTGCCGTGTGTCATGAAACCCCAACCCGCGACCCACCTAACCCTAACCCAGCTCGCACGACTCGCACGGTGGACACCTCTAGGTAGGGCTACCTAATGACAAAAGGGTCGGGCCTAATACTAAAGGGTTTTGACCCTTTAATTTTTTAATGGAAGGGCTTTTATAGGGTCTTATTTTGTAGGGCTTTTATAGGGTTTTAATTAGAGCCCAATAATTTAAGAATTAAAATAAAAAGCCCAATAATAATGGTTAAGGGTCAGCCACTCAGCCCTCACTTCCATTTTCTCTCTTCTCTCCTCTGTTCTTCCGCCCACCTTTCTCTCTCCTCCATTGAAGCGCACTCAGAATTCTCCATTGAAGCACACTCAGAGTTCTCCATTGAAGCCACTTCTCAGCTTCTCAGGTATCATCGTTTTCTCAAATTGCTTACATTTTGCGTTCAAAAAGCTTGTTCGTTTGATTACTAAGGAAAGAGAGAAGGTTTCGTTGAGAATGGAAGTTTGTTGATGTTTGGGTCCAATTTAGTCCAATTGGGCCTAAGCACTAAATGATCCAATTAAAAGCCCAAGGTCAAGGTTCAACTCTCCAATTGTGCTAAAGTCAAAGGTCAGCCCACAAAGCAAGCCAATTGGGCTAAGGCCCAACCTCTCCATGTATGATGAGGTATAAAAGCCATCATATTGATACATTCAAGGGAGGAGATTCATTCTGATTCATTCATAGATTCATATGTTCATTCGTATATTCTGAGATATTCCAAAAAAGCCTCAAGCAACAAACTCTCTTGCATAGTGTCTTCTTCTTACACATTGTACTGACTTTAGCATCGGAGGGGCCTTCCTCGGAAACACCCCCGAGGCTAGTTTACGTGTGTTTACTGTGCAGGAAATCTTCGGCCCAACATAACTTGGACCGAATCCAGCCTTCTCCATTTCAGCGGACCTTCGGCAAGGTCCCATTGTTTTCACCCGAAACAATTTGGCGCCGTCTGTGGGGAAGGCTTTCAAAAATCTTTAAGCCAAATTCCTAACCAAGATCATCTTGCAATTATCTTAGCAGCAATGGCTAAGAACCGCAAGAGCAAAAGCCTCCGTCAAGGAGCGGGCGAAAAGCCTAAAACCCCTACACCATCGCCCTCGCCGGACCGGAACTCTCCCAAGGGTGCCGGCTCGGGGGGAGGATCATACAAGGAGGATTCCCTATCTCCCGTAATTCATGACTCTCAATATAGGCCGGGCCACTCTCAGTCTAGCAGGGGTCAGTCCGATCATAGGACATATTCAGTGTCCCAAAGCCAACCATCGACTGCGCGCCCTC